GGTATGTATATATGTATGTATGTATGTATGTATTTATGTATGTATGTATGTATGTATGTATGTATGTATGTATGTATGTATGTATGTATGTATGTTATGTATGTATGTTTGTATGTATGTATGTATGTATGTATGTATGTATTAATGTATATAAGTATGTATGTATCTATGTATCTATGTATCTATGTATGTATGTATGTGATGTATGTATGTAGGTATGCATGAATGGATGGATGGATGGATGTATGTATGTATGTATGGACACTTTCAACGTCCATAGCTACATACCATAGCCTTCTCACATATACATACATACGCGTAAATATTATAGTTGGAAATTCTTGTGCAAATATCACCTTCTGGAGTCTGGGGCTCTGGGCTCGAGTCTAGAGTTAACATGACAACACTTTTTTTTTTAGTTTATTTGTCAGTCTTGTTAGATATTTCTGTTACCAGTTGGCTATAATTATTTACAAGTATTGTGGTTACGTTTTAAATATGCGACAATATATATATCCATAAACAGTAGTGCCTACTTCGAAATATTGTAAGTGCATCTCTTTTTTAAAACGAACTTTTCTTCGTCGTCTGACGGGGTGACTCCAAAAGAGCCTGTAAGTTACAATACATAAATGATGGTTTCAGGAGCGAAAAGAACCCTTGATAATCTCTTCCTTCTGCATGCCTCCATATCATGCATAATCGGGGCTACTTTGTTTATATTCCCGCACTTTGCTGAGTTGTTTCTGATCCACCAAGATAATGAGACAGTCATAGGCCTTACCGACCACACCGCCGGAGACGCACAAAAAATCACACACTTGGTTCTTAGGCTTTATGGAGGTATGCTGAGATATTAGTAGAAATCTACCAAGCTGAAGCACACATTGCATCCCTTTTGTATATCTACCTGCTTCTCTCTATTTGCTTTGTTGTGTCTCAAATATACGTCAGATCCAGAGTGTGCAACTCTTATTAGTGATTGCGTACACATACAAACAAATACGTGAATTAAAAGGTTTATATATATATATATATATATATATATATATATATATATATATATGTGTGTGTGTGTGTGTGTGTGTGTGTAGAG